TGATGCATGGACCGAAGCTGGTTGCCTAAGCACTTAGTAAAGCCCAACGTGGCATGAAGACGAAGCTTGCTATATCACAAATACTTGGCGATGAGTCAAAGATATTCTGTCGCTAAGTATTTAGTGGCATTCTCAAATAAGACATGTTTTAGCTATGAAGTCCTAGTGTCACTCATCGTATCATCTCAATAGAGAATGATGAATGAATGATTGGACGAGATAAGATATGAGAAGCCAATCCAACACTCCTGAGTCCTGACAATTGAATTTACATTTTAGGGGGGATTTCAGGAGGCGTCAATAGAAGTGACATTAATCAATAACTTACTTCGGGATAGTGATGCAATAGGTCCATCCATTTGTTGTGTGGAAGGGAAAAGGCCCACCAAAGAGGTAGAAAATGCACTTCAAACTCTAGAGACACCCTCACAATCAACAAAGCTAGTGTATGTAAAATCTATTAATCTCAACTAAAACTCCGTTAACTTATCTCCCAACGTCCATTTTTTTTTTTTTTTAATGATTTAGCTTTCGGAATGCAGACAATCGTTGCACTTCCTATCGGAGCAGTGTTTCTGCATTCTATTGTCGTCTAAGTGTACATGTAGATCACGAGATTACCATGTTCTATTGACTTTAAAGTTTATTAAATTCACACCTTTTTTCAATAATTTTGCTATTGAAAATTCAAATGAATTGGATGACCTACAATCAAGTCAAATCGTGCTAATTCTCTATGAATATTATGCAAATTAGGTAGGTAATGATGTTCGCCTGAAAGAAGGAAAGAAAGAAAAAAGATACACACGCCATTATTTCTATTTTTCATGAAAGTTAAAAGTGATTTTTATTCCAAATAAAGCTTGGTGATTCTGTATATAGCCTTGTTTGGTATAAATTAAAATTTGATTATAATTTTAAGTCAAAATCAATAATTAATTTTATCGCACGTTTTATGGGATTAAAAAATTTTCAACCATAAATTTTATCAACTTTTATCACTAATTTTTTACCACATTAATGCATCACACACACTTGACATATGTGTGCCACGTAGGGCGACTGCCGCAGTGAACGACTACAAATAACATTATTCTTAAAAGATTCATACGTACTACACTACTACTCACTTATTCTTATTCAATTCTATATTATTATAAAATATTTATAGGTACTTAAATCATTTTCATATTTTAAAAAATACAAAGGTATATTACCAAATTATTCATAAGTTTTTTTATTTTTTTATAATTTAAATAATTTATACACACTTTACAAAAATGTTGTGGCATGCGAGGGCACCTTACGTTCTTGAACCTTTAACTAGCTTTCGGTTAACCTAGCCTCATCTGGGGAGATGAGAGAGAAATGAGGTGGGGGCCGCAGTAATTGGAATGGCCCACATTTTAGACCACTTCTGTTCCTTTCTTTGGAGTATACGTTTTGTCAATGACTGGCGGGAACGTAAAGTACGTAAGAGCCTCGTGTCCACTAATGGTTTTTTTTATGGACAAACCGAACAAA